AATTGTGTATCTTTGTTTCAAGCAAAGTCCTGTATAATTTACGGGGACTTAAAACAGCAGTGGAGTTTGGGTCATGTCCATGGAATTTGATAACTTCAAATTTCATAAAAATATTTTACTTAAGAATTTTTGTGGTTGAACAATATTAGAATACATACTTGATTTCTTCTTGCATTCTACACAAATCTGTTTTGCACTTAATAAATTTACTACAAGGTCTTTAGTTCACATAAGGTAATTGCTTTTCTACATGATTCATCACAAAAGTACCTAAACATTTTGAAGCATTGTTTAAAAATATACACAATTACATGATACATTTTACATTTTTCCTTTGCAGTATTTAACTCTTCAGCATCCATAGCTTAATAATAGCTATTCAAAGTAAGAGAACTACACTGAAAGATGAATTTCCTGATGAAGTTCCAATAATGAGTCAAATGAGTTCCAAGAAGTGTTTTTCATACCTAAGTGAAGAAGTTTCTTAAGATTTCACAGTCTGTCTGTCCATTCCTCCCTGTTTCCATTTTTGCAGTGCTTTCTCCCATTTCTCATGCAAAGGAAAGAGGGAGAGAAATCACCCCTCATGAGAGCATGGAGAAAAGTGCTTCCTTCCTAACATTCACCCACTCTGCTCTAAAAAAGCCTACTGGAGGTCACAGTCAAACTGTATTAAAAAAAAATCAACCATGGAAGTAAATAAAAAGCAGAAAAATTGCATTGCCATTATAGAGACCTTACTTTGAGCACTGTGACAGGGGAGATACTCAGGTGGGCAGGAAAGTGTTATAAAATACTGACAGCATTTTGATAGAAGCATTTATGGACATGTACTTAAAAAGAAATTCCGGCAGTTTTAAATTCTGCTTAAGCCACTGCAAAGATCAGATTACGCACTTTAAAGGTTTTGTGGAAAAGGTATGCCTTGTCTGAAGTTTCTTATGAATTAATGTAGTGCAGATATAATACAGGACTTTAGATTAATGGTTGCAAAATTTGGCAGAGCTTAGTCTTCCTCCCCAGAACATTATTTTTTAAGTTTCAGGCCTACTGGCTCAAGGTTAAGAATGATTTTGAAATACTTTTTTCTAAGATCCTAACCTTAGAAGAATTCAGTGAGATTTCCACAACTTGAGCTTTGGATCAGCACAGCCTCAGCCACCCAGACTTTATGAACACAGACAAAAATAAAACAAAATATTGTAGGTCAGATTAACTCAGTGAAATGCTCTGGTAACATCTAAATTTATAACTAAAATTGTCAGGACTTGTTTTTTTCCTTGAGGCCATCTGGCACAGCCTGTTCCCTCTATTAAATGCTCTGGTGTTTTCAACAGGATAGCACAACCATGCCATGCACTGAGAACAGAGCTGAGCTGGCTTTAGCTTGATTGTGAATAGGATTTTTTTATGCAGATTTTAATCATGTTAGAGAAAAAAATGTCAGAAATTCTATTAACAAATCATCAGTGTGATTCAAGTCCAGTGCCTAAGTCCAGGCTGTACCACTTCTTAATTTATAAATCATTGATGAGCCTTGTTCTAATTTAAATCAACAGTACTACCCATTTGCTCAAAATCACGTTTGTAGATGGGATCCTTTTTAGCCTTTTAACCAAGTCTTGAGTTTAAATAAAGACAATAACTTGGACATACAGAGACTGTCCTGTTTTTATTCATTTCTAATCACAAGCGGCTCTCTTGATTTTGTGATGGGGCCCAATTTTATAACTCTGTGTTTGTATGCTTCCTTTCCCAACATGCTGTTTATGGTGCTGCTTCAGCAAATAGTTGTCTTTTCCTACTCCATATTCAATTCTGGTACACCTTTGTCACCCTGGAAAAATATAAAGGAAAACTATTCACAAATACATAATGAGATTGTAAAACTAAACCTTAATAAATTACAAGTATGTAACAAAGAATATAAAAGTTTGTTTTAGATTTCATTAGAAATTAAATATTTGCCATTTGAAATGCCTAAAGCAGATGTCCTCTGTCTCAGTCTACAGTTCCTGAGGGGCGACTGTGGAAGGCATCTACCAGTAGATCTATTTGTGAATCCCACTATTTTCCTATTTTGAGGTGTTTTGTCAGCTGAAATGTGGTGCAAATACTCAAACATTGACAAAAAAAATGCATGATGTATAATCCACATTCTGAAGGCAATGACAAACTAATATGCTTTACTGATGATTAAGAATTTGACAAAGAAACATAAGGAATAGAACAAATGGGAAATGCAACAGTTTCAAATATGAGGTATATGACTAAGGTGCATGGAAGTCCTACACAGCCTATGTAATAGCTGAGTAACTAGCAATCCATTAGCTTTTCCCAGCCTCTGGCAACTTTCTCAAAAAACTGGCCTTTGGTCCCTGCTTTGAGAGTGTTGCAGAATGTGAAAGAAAGGAAAAAGCAAGTGAGCTAATAGAGATCTTCAAGTTCCTCATTAAAAATATGTTTGGAGAATAGTTTCTAAAATACAATGCTGAATTTCAGAGGGTGAATTTATATATAACTTTTTCTCTAATATTCCTTGAGATTGATTTGGACGTACAGAAGAAAACTGTGTTGCAAAAACAGTAGCTCATCAAAAGACTAAAAGAATTTAGAAATTCCATTAAACGCATAACAAAATTAATTCAAATCAACATAAGTTACTTCATATAAGAAGTTTGAAAGTGCTAATGAAAAAATGCAATATCCAGCTGCTTTGAAAAAAAAAATATCACAAGAATTCTCTTTTTGAATTGCAGAATTTTTTTTTGTAGAAATGAAAGATTACTTAATAAATTAGGCCTACTTTAATTTTAAGGTTTTATTACAGTATTTGGTGAGATATGCTAGTTTATAATCACATGATTCTTAAAACATTAAGTCTAGATGACTGACTGTAGTACCAGTTCAGTACTAGCTGGTACAGTTTTCTACTATAACTACCATGTTAGTATTGAAATTTGTCTATGAGAAAATACTAGAAAAACAAAACTGAATTAATTCCATAATTCCTCATCCTACAGAAACTGTGATGCTTCTAATTATTCATGCTAATAAACTGAATTGAGAATTGGTTGTAAGAATGATATAATAATGTTAATGCTGTAATTTGTGAATGTTAACACCTCAGTAAAGACAATGTTAAAACCTCAGTAAAGACAATGAAAATAAAAAAGAAAGCTGAGAATTAAATGGAACACTTTCAATAAATGCATGTTCAAAAAAGAAAACTTTTAAAATTATTTTCTTGAAAAAAAATTATAAAATTAAGATTATGTATGTTAAAAATACAGGAATGGCTATAAGGATTTATTTTAAAATAATAAAAATATATATCACATTTGCTAAATACTCTTTTACCAGAAGTTAGCATACCTCAATGCAAACAACTCTGGAACCCTAAACAACACTGGAATTACAAGCAGAGTCTGCACCACTCAAATTAATTTCTCTATGGATAACACTTAGAAACAAGCAATCCTCCTGGCAGGATTAAATCACCTGCATCAGGCACTTTTTTTGTGCCCAAGCTTTACGTAGACAGAGAAGCATCTGTTTGAACTAAGTGCCCCACTGCAGTCTGAAAAGACAGCTCCAGACCTGAATGAGAGAATTTAGCTGACTATATTTAAGCACTGAGTTTATAGAAGAACAGTCCACACTTGAGACCTTTTAAAGGCACCAACCTCTTTTCATTAGGCTACAGTAACTTTAGGCTGTAACTTTATCAGGACACCTGACAAGATTCCTAAAATTTAGGGAGGACTTTGCCGAATTCACTCCTTATCCATGGCATCTACTTAAGATATTCTACTTGTTCAATTCTGATTGTTTTATTTTTTTGATGCTGCCTCAAAAGTACAAGTGAGAAAACCCAAAACTTCTATCACAAGAGCCTTCAATATCTGGTATCACTTACAGGGAATATGCCCTAAGACTAAAATGTCTTCTTTTTAATAATTTTTCAATAGCAGGAATAATTATCCATGCATTTAAGATTATGATTTCAAAAGGAAAGTTAGGCATATGTTGAAAATAAAACAATATTTTTTTCCTCAGCAAGGACAAAATCCACTTTTCTTGAATAAGAGTCAAGGTTAAAGCAATAGGAAAAAGAAAGGCAGATGTCTCAGAAAAATATTTATGTTTTGTTATGTTCATCTTATCTTGGAAGCATAAATAAAAGCTGTTCCCAAGCATACAGAGCATTACATCAAAGGGATGTGTCAAGTCAATCTTTTAATGAATAAATGAATGGGTCATGGAAGCTTTATTAAAAGATAAGAAAACCCTACAGCAAGTTTCCTGAAACTAATTGTCTATAGTCAGGCATCTTAGCTGAGTCTAAAGCTCTTCACAGTTGATACTTAAACAGACTCTTAACATTACCTTGCAAATTCACTGGGGCTACTGAGTATTCTTAGAGCCAAGTGTGTGCTTAGCGATGTTCCTAGATCTGAAATAGAGTATCTAGTGCTTCACAAGAGCTAAACTCTCAGGCCTTCAAAGAGCCCAACCACAGAACTACAATTTTTCAAAGATATAGAAGGAAAATGAAAGTTCAATTCCTACAGCAGTTGTCTTCAATAATTACTTATTTTCTACAGTAAAGACTGTAGTAATTGCTTGTATGCCCAACACTTTTCAAAACAGACTTAGAGGCCAAATTTTGGACATACACTTTTCAAATGTTACTCCACATTACTATGTAATAAGGGGTAAAACATATCATCATGGGAGCAGAAATCAAAATGACTCTACAAGTATTACTGAATGAATATTCACTTGGAATTTTAGATCAGTGGTGAAGATAAGCTTTGACTTAGTATTTTTTAACTCATAGGTTCAAAATATTTATCAGATTGTGAAAACTCTTAACATTACAGATAACACAACTATAGGATTCTTATAAAATCACCAAGCTGCAATATTGTGAATGAAATAACTACTTTTGTTAAGAAAATAATTTATTTTCCATAGTCACAACATATAATCTAGTATCAGTTACTGTACATATATTTTCTTGCAATACTCTGACTGTCTATGAATACTGGATCCACAGATGCCACTTTTGCTGCTATAAAGGAGTGAATACAGTGTAAAACTGACGTCAGATCCTGAAATTCAAGTTCCTGAAAGAAGTAAGAGAAAAAAAAAAGAAAAAAAATGAATTCAATTCAGGTTTATAAACATTTTACATAAATAAAGAGCAGACTAGTTAGAAAACAATAATGGCCTTATGAAAACTGAATTTTTATAGGAAACTAAAATTAAAACTGTTAAGAATAAAATCTGTATATCCATACCTTGTTCACTGACAGTGCTGTGTGTCAATTTAGTTTTCACTCTGTGATACTTTATAATGTACATTGTACTCAGCTTGTACAATGAAATCAGTCAACTTGAAAGAACATTCAAATATTGCAACATAGAATAATTCGGGTTAGAAAAGATATTGAAGATCACTGAGTCCAACTATTAACCCAACACTGCCAAGTCTACCAGCAAACCGTGCCACTAAGTGCCACATCTACACTTGACACTAAGTGCCACATCTCCTGGGATGGTGACTCAACCACTTCCCCACATAGCCTGTTCCAATGTTTAACAACCTTTTTGGTGTAGAAATTTTTTCCTAATATCCAGTCTAAACTTCCCCTGGCACAAGCTGAGACGATTTCCTTTCATCCTACCCTTGTAACTTGTTTCAGGCAGTCATAGAGAGTGGTAAGACCTTTCCTGAGACTCCTTTTCTCCAAGCTAAAATCCCCAGCTCCTTCAGCCGCTCCTCAAATGTCATGCCCATCCAATCCTTTACCAGCTCCATTGCCTTTCTTAAGTGAAGGGCCCAGAACTGGACACAGCACTCCAGGTGTGACCTCACCAGTGCTGAGTACAGGGGGACAGTCCCTGCCCTGCTCCTGCTGGCCACACTATTGCTGATCCAGGCCAGGATGCCCTTGGCCTTCTTGGCCACCTGGGCACACTCTGGCTCATGTGCAGCTGATGTCAACCAGCACCTCTCTTCCCACCAGACACCATTTCCCCTGGTCCTTTCCCACCAGGCACCTTTCCAGCCACTCTGCCCTCAGCCTGCAGCACTGCCTGTACTCGGCACTTGGCCCTGTTGAACATTTTTAAAGTATTTGACAAGTTAAGGCTGTTTGAGGATGATGAGGTATCAAGAAGGGTAGGGTGAGGAGATCACATCTTCTGTCGGCTTCTGAAGGAGAGATGAGAAGCCAGAGGCAGGGTGAAAGGGTGAAGTCACACCACAGCCTGATGATAGAAACAAACATGGCTGGGTATGAAATTCAAATGCCCTAATTCACAAAGAAAGGCAGAATTATGCCTAAACTGTTCTCAGATTTGCTTGACTTTTTACAACATATTTCATCTTCCGTGTACAAGTCAACTCTCTTTTTCCCTATGAACCCATACAGTAATAGAGGATAGTCTGACAGAATGACATGTAAATATAACAGAAAAACCAAATATAATGTAAAAAACACCTTCAATTTAAGTGATACCACTATGTGTGATGTCAGTTGGTAAATATATTGTGGGGATACTTGAGACAATTTTTGGTTTGAGCAGAAGACTATTTTCAACAATCTGTTTGCTAACTGGTTTGTTGAGGCATATTTTGTATACTTGTTTTTAAGCAAAAAGCAAAGCACTGGGTTTCTGCTTTTTCTGTAACAAAGTTTGAGCAGAAGACTTTTTTCCACAACAGTTGTTTGCTAACTGGTTTGTTGAGGCACATTTTGTATACTTGTTTTTAAGCAAAAAGCAAAGCACTGGGTTTCTGCTTTTTCTGTAACAAAATTTTATAGTATGTTCTAAACAAAATTGGCCCAAACAGAATATTTGGAATTCAAACTTACTGTCCCAGAAAAGCTCACCATCACACCATTTTGCTATCCAAGGCCAGGTATTTACTAGGCACAAGTGGTCCCACTACTAATGAACGGTTCAGTAGTGTTTGTGGGGCATGATTTTGTGACCCTGTTTGGGGCACAGCTGGGAAGTTTTTGGGAGTGGAGGGACCTGCATGCACAGCCTCTTCAAGGAGAGACCAGGGCTGCCCTGTGCCAGATAGAGCAGGTTCTGACAGGTCCAGCTGATGCACCTCCAGGCATGGCTGAGCCCGACAGTGAGACAGGGGTGCATCAGGGTAAACATAGGTAAGAAAGGGCAGAAAATTCCCCAAAATAGTAACAAGGCCAGTGAAGTAGAGGGTGCTCCATGGCAGAGCAGGTAACACCCTTAAAGGGACTGAAACTGATGGAGAAGCCATAGTGGAGCAGAGGAAAGCATGAGTGTATTCGAGCTCATGACATCACTGTCCTACAATTTGGGGGCAAAAAGCTCCTGTTTCTTCCATTTTAACTGACATTTAACTGACATTTGAAGAGCAAATATGGGAGGAGGTTTCTTAAAATACATTTTATTGACAGTAGATGTTGATTTTAAATATTAATATAAATTAATATAAACACTTTCAGGAAAAAACCCTACAATGCCACTATTTAAAGCTCCTTATCTAAGTTTAATAAAATGAAAATTATATACACAATCATGATTATTAATTAAATATGAAATATGAAACATGAAATATCAGCTTCAATACATAAGTTTTGGTTCAATCGAATGTTTTACATCTATTGAATTTACATCTTCAAAACCAAGGAATTAAAAAATATGACCATTCCCATTAATCTTAGATTTACTCTAAAATCAACTGAAATCATCCAACAATTTCACCTTAGGTTCTGACATTCAACACCCCGACCAAACAGAGCCAAACGAAACAAACTGAGAGAAGGGAGCCCTTCACAGGGTTCCCATTTCTCTACTCCAGCTTTATGCACTTCCAATCTGTACATGTTTATGGGGATAAGCAAACAGAGGGAACCTAACACAGACTGTGGACAGGATCTCAGACTGTTCTAACAACATTATTTGGAGAGCTTTGGGTTTACAAAAGAGCAAAGACAGGAACATCTCATCACTGTGAGTCAGTCTTTCCCAATGTCCCAACTGCAGAGTCCTCTCTGTTTCCATCACAGTTCAGAGCATGGATCAAACTGCAGTGCCCCTCCTCTGTATCTGAGAGAAGTTGTCTAATCTCTTGTGAATAAACTTTTGAATACTAACATGCTCTTGTTTCTGTAAAATATAATCTGCATAGAGGTGGAAGACTAGCAGTAACACTAAACCTGTGTCTTATGTGACAACAACACTACTTTCCGCAGTTAACACTGCAAGTCCCCTGTTTCTGGATTACTTTCAAGACTGGTGCTAATTTTCAAAGTTATTACAGAGCTGAAAAGCAAAATGTGTGGCATATAAGCACTCCTCATGCAGTTTACCAACTGGTCCACTCCTCTTATCTCTTCACTATTTGATGTTAGGTTTGTGCAGGGATGAGCAATCCTCTGGGATCATAAAACAGGAGCAGAGCTCTGGAGATTGTTTTACAGGCCCCAGTTAGATATGGCCACCCATGGTGGCATCAGATATGTGGGGCTCATCTGAGGCCTCATGCACCAGAAGCTTCTAGAAATGCAGCTTATCACAGTAGTATTTGATCAAGAAGTCCACTAAGGGGGTAAGGCTGTGGACTTTGAGTCTGAAGAATGTTGGCTGCCCTTGCAATCCTGCAGCTAGCTAGTCATGTGTAGGTAATGAGGAATAGTCACACATACCTAAGGATAAGCTGGGGTAAGGATTTGCTTACATGTCGATTACAACAGGGAAAGGGGAAGAGGACTGGGGGTTCATTTGAAAATATGGATTTAGTAAAAAATAAGGATGCCTTTCTGACTTGGGAAAACGTACCTGTTGCACAGTCTGAAGACTGGGACACAATATGTCTCTTTGCTATCTTGAATATAATTTTATAGATGGAAATGCAACCTCTTTAGCTTTGGAATGTAATATGAATTCTTCCTAGAATAACACCAATGACATTTCTTTCAAACAGATACATTGCTGTAATAGTTTATTTTTTTTTTAAAGTGACATTTGTCTCTCTAGTCAGTCAGGCAAATGAGTAAATGATCATTTTGTTTGCAATATACCATCTAACAGCACCCTTATGTTTGCTTTCCGTATCTGAGTTTGCTGCTTTTTTATTTAATTGAGATTGTCAGTTTTTAAGGAGAATCTGTGCATGTGTAATATTTTAACAACCAAAGCTCTTTCAGTTACTGTATGTTCCGTAATAAGTAGATTATGTACAACAAAGGCACTGTAAGGAAGACACTGAGAGAAGAACACAAAAGATTGGATTAAAGCAGTGGGAGGACAAGACTACAAACTTCCTGCTGGTACTGAAAATACAAAAAATGAGCGCACTGCATTGACCTCCTTCACTGCATGTGCACAGCCACAGAAGAAAAATATATGTTCTTATTTCATCCACCCACTGGGAGAATTGGATTTATTACATATCATAAAGAGCTTGACAGGCCTATTGCCTTATTACCATGCATGCAATTTTATTGAGAACTTCTGAGAGCTGTTGAATCACTATTTCAAGACATAAGCTTGTGTCACGTGAAAGACAAACAATGGAGATGCTGACAGATAGTGTTATTTTGCCTTGTGCTTTTCATGACTTTAAAGACACTGGTAAGCCTGTGTAGGTTATTTGTTGACCAGAGCAGAACTGTTACCACTGTATCTTTCAAGATATGTTTTCCAATCAGACTTATTTTTTCAGTTGTTGTGGGGTTTTGTTGTTATTGTTTGTTTGTTGGTTGGTTTGGTGATGTTTGGTTGGGTTTTTTCAGGTTAAAATCCCAAATAAAGATATCCAGGTTTTAGCTCCAGACAAAATGAAATTCAAAATGGAAACCAAAATTTCAAATTTTATCTCAGCAAATATAGCAGGGCTTGGTTGCCCTATCATGGATGAGAAGAATATGCAGGGTTCTTAAGTTGTCTTCTTGTAATAGACATGAAATTTATGAGAACAGCAACATCTAGTTGAGGCTTCAGTATGGCTCACAATACTCTATTGACCACAATGGTTTCTTATCTTTCTTCACTAAATATTTAAGTCTAAGAAGATGAAAAGAAAACAGAAATGCTCAATTCAAATAGGCTTGGTAAAAAAGTCTTATTTTTCAGATATATAGCTACAGTTTAGCAAAGAGAAATAAAACATCAATACAAACCTGAAAGTATTAATACTTTTTTCTTTTTTAGAGAAACCTTGAAAATTTGGGTAAAGAATATCTGCAATTACTAAGGTTACTTGTAATTTCTCAATACTAAAGGCAGGGTAAGTTCAGGGAAGTACTGAAGTGGGAAACTATAAGAAGTTGTAGGGAATATGAAGAACCTGAAGGAGAAACAACTGACAGGAATATTTTCCTTATTATCTTCTTTCAACAGAAAACTTTTTTAAATGGAGAAATGTACTGTTCTCCTAAAACTAAAATGCACAGGAAAAAATACTTGGCTTAAAATTTGGAAGCCAAAATAGGAGAAGAAACATCACATCTAGCTAGTAAACAAGACACAAAAATAGAATTCCCAAGTGTGGTTTTTTACTCCCAAGAATTTACAATAATATAGAATTAAACATAGTTTGGAAAATTCTTTTGCAACCTTGACTCTCTATTTTCCACCAAGGGAATGTAAGTCATCTGCATCAAGCTTCTTTTGTGCATAGTGCCTCATTTACCCAGGAAAAATGAAACTTCTGTTATTTGATAACATTTTTATTTCTTGTTATTGGCTGCATTTCATCATATAACACCATCTGGTCCTATGAAATCTCTTTCAGTGCCATAAGCAGAGACAAATACCGGATTGTACTATGGGTATTAGTGCTGGGCATTTTCCAGCCAGCCTGTAACTCTCAAGTCTAAGAAATCACACCATTTAGGTGGTGGGCATAGTTGATGGTATATACCAGTTATCTGAAGTGGAGAGGCTGCACAGCTGTGTCCCAGTCCATTAAATGTGAAATCCTAGTGGGTACATTGCACTTCGCAGACACAGTTGTAAAAGGTGTAATCACTGAAATTCTGATAAATCATCAGCTACTTAACATCAGCCTTTCCTCTGGCCTTTAATGAGCTTTTTCTGGGATCTTCCAACATTTGGAACACATACGTACTTTTAGATACATAGATATTAAGAATTCTGTATGAACCAATCCCATATAAACTTCCATCTGATACTTTCAAGGTGAATTTTGCCAACTGCAAGGTGTTTTCATTAAAGCTATGTAAAAGACTAATTTTTAATGTTTTAACAAATCTGTCTCCTGAACAAAATTTACTGCAAAGTTAACATTATATTAAAACATATATTATATTTATTGCAAAATTAACATTATACTAATTTTACAGATAACCAAATTTTCATAAAAATACTAAAATTTAAAATTTTTCTATCAAAGAGTAAAATTGGGTAAAACAAATTAAAAACAATCTAATTTGCACAAAAAGAAAAAGAAAATAAAATTTTAAAAATCAGATTGTTTACCACAACAGAAAGAGGAATGATACAGTATTAAAGTAAAAGAATTCCATTACAAGCAATGGAATTGCAGCCATTGGCTAATCACACACAGGGACTATCTAATGATTTAATGCACAAAGATACACAAAGTAGTTTATGCATGAGTACAATCTTCCTGTCTGACCTGAAACAAGTTATGTAAGCTCACTGCAGCAGAGGATCACATATGAAATGAAGTCAGTAGTCCTTTTCTGTCTCCAAGGTCTACTGTGAGAAATGGTGTGGAAATGGCCTGCTACTAGACAAATTATTATACATAGTACTTTTTGCAACAGATATTATAATATCTTTTACAGTAGAGCCAAGGGGCAACTCAGGTCAAGCTTGCTGATGAAATTGTGAATAATTTACATCTGTAAAAATACAGATATATAAAGGAAGATATATTGCATGTACTGAAACTTTATGAAAAACAAGGAAGATTATAGACTTCTTCCTTACACTTATTTTAAACTTTAGAAGGATAGGTAACATATATATTTTATGTATGGTCAGTATAGAAAAATATTACTTTATAAGTGACTTTAATTTTACAATTCCAGTTATGAGTATTTAAGAACTTTCATAGGTCTTCAGATATTTTTCTCTGGTTTCACTGGATTTTGTCAACCAAAACACAGTTGAACCACAGTCTTATCTTCCTTTTCTATGTCATATCATGCCATGCTCTTCTTCTTTTTAAAACTATATAACTGAAAAACTTTTTTTTTTTATTCAACAGCAAGCTTGGCATAAATTTTTATTTTACTTTATTTTTTTAAACACAATTTTTAGACATCCTTCTTTTTGAAACTACATAACTGAAAAACCTTTTTTTTTTTTTTATTCAACAGCAAGCTTGGCATAAATTTTTATTTTACTTTATTTTTTTTTAACACAATTTTTAGACATTATATCTACTATAGGTTGACAGAATAACTTCAGAGAAACTGTCTTTCTAAAAAACTAAAATGCTATCATAACACACCTTAATAACTGGCTTGTAGAAATAGTGCAATAAATCTGTGGGTATTACATTGCTTCCATTTATTGTGGAGTTTCTAAAGAATTGGCAAAAAAACATAAGCTGTGATGTGTTCACCACATGTATGTCCCAGTAAAGGGGATTTCTGATGCCTTGACAGTAATTTTATGTCATGCTTAACTAAATTGAAAAAGAGGATGTTGCTTACCTTTGTCTCAATTTGTTTGGTGTCTATATTTTGAAAAAGCAGCTTTACTCTTGTTTTCCCATCATCTGATGAGCCTTTGAGCTGAGAGAATTTAAACCTCCATAGCACATTCTAAAGAAAAATAAATTTGATTAAGGACTCTGCTACATGTTTTTACCTAGAAGTATAGAATGATGATCAATATACGTGTACTAAAATAAAGCACTACAGCAGTAATGAGTGAATGATAACAGGCTCTTTGCAGAGCAATTAAAATTAACATTTCTGTACCCTTTGTGAACTATAGAATGATGATCAATATATGTGTACTAAAACAAAGCACTACAGCAGTAATGCAGTGCATGATAACAGGCTCTTTGCAGAGCAATTAAAATTAACATTTCTGTACCCTTTGTGAAAGCAAAAGATGCAATATTAAAATTCATTAATTAAACTATTTTGAAATTCTTTGAGATATAAATGTTTCAATTGCCTACATTGCACAAAGATGGCAAAAGCTTAATTCCATAAAGATCCATGAGGATATTTGTATCAGTTTCAGTATAAACACAATTCCATGCCATATCTTGGTCTTTCGTATTTCAGTTGGCTCATTTGCATAACGTAGATAATTGTGACTTACACAGATATTGCAAAGCTTACTGATGTGTGAAATGCAGTTTGAAGTTCTCAAAAAAGGTATAGAAATGCAAAAATATTATTATTGAACATAGTCTCAGAAACCACAAAAATGTGTCCTACATTACATAATGGTTTGTAAAATATATGGATATATGACTTCTTGGTCTCCCACAGGTTTATCCATGGCATCTTAGTAGTGTTGGCAAACTCTAGATTGACAGATATGCTTTAATATTTATGGAAATATTTTTTAAAAACAAAAATTGGGAAATTATTCTTGAAATCAAGGTTATTTTCTGTATTTATCTGAATGTTTTCTATTAATCACCTGAAAATGCATAATTAAGAAAAAAGAACACAAGGTAACAGCTTGCACCTGGTCTTCCTGTTGATGCTTCCTTTAATGCCTATAATCTTAATGAAAATTCTCTGCACATGTTGAAGTGTGCTTCAGTTCCTGGACACTGCTGAAGAAACACAGTTTAAATACTTGGGAGCTTATTTCAAAAGCACACATGGAAAAAAGTTTGCTCTGTTCCATTTTCCAACATGCCTCTTCTCAAAATATTTTTTTTAAGTAGACCAGTGCTACCAGTGGGCTTTGGAACCCTATTCATAGTTTAAAATGGAATGTCCTATAAAAAAAAACTATCTCCTGGCTCCCCGCAGACATAAATGTCACTGAGTTCTTAGAGAGATATAACATATGAAGAAAAACTGAAGTATTCCACAGCACTGTGTTAGTGCTTAAACTTTACATTCATGAACAGATTTTAACTGGGTCCAGAGGGCCTAATTAGACCACCTGAAAAGTGTTAAAAGCTTAAATGAGTTTGGGTCTAAACAGGATAGATGAATGTTTGCTATGTAATAACTGCTAAGGTGGAGATGAATCAAGAACTTAGGAACAATTTAGTAATAATGAGCATTGCTGGAGTCATCATCTCTCTCAACAATTGACACCAAGAGGGAAAGATGAGAAGTAGAGAGCACTGGAAGAGGGCAGAAAATGCACACTTTGGGATCCCTTTATATTGGAGGAGTGGCTGGAGGCACAGGATGGGGAAGATGAACCAACCAAGCTGACAAGATAAAAAGAATCTCTACAATGAGATATAAAGCAGATGGAGGCTACAGAAGTAGCTCAGTGATGGGTTCAAAAAAGATAAAAGCTGAATGAATTAAACTTCTGCCCATCAAGAGCCTGGAATAGAATATGCAGGAAAAGAAACTGCTCTAGGAAAGTTTTTTAAAGATATTTTTCTTGTGCTGGAGAGGTGAATGAGAATATGGGAGAGAAAAAGCCTTGCAGACACCATGGTCAGTGAAGAAGGGGGAGGAGGTGCTGTTCCTGAAGGACCACACCCGCTGGGGAGGACTCATCCTGGAGCAGTTCATGAAGAGCTGCAGCCTGTGGGAAGGACTCATGGTGGATTCTGGAAGACTGTCTCCTGTGGAAGGGACTCCATGCTGGAGCAGGAGAGAGTGTGAGGAGTTCTCCTCCTGAGGAGGAAGGAAGGACAGAGACAATATGTGGTGAACTGACTACAGCCCCCATTTCTAAAATGCCTTTGCTGCTGGAGAGGAGGAGATAAAGAAAATTAGGAAGCAGAGAAGTGTGGGGGGAAGGTGTTTTAAGATCTGGGTTTTATTTCTCATTAGCATACTCTGATTTGATTTGCAATAAATTAAACTGATTTGCCCAGGTGGAGTCTGTTTTGCCCATGATAGTCACTGCTGAGTGACCTCTCCCTGCCTTTATCTGGACCCACAAGTCTTTAGTTGTATTTCCTCTCATTTGCTTGACTCATGAGGAAGACAGGGTCAACCCCCCACACTCCAAAGCAGAAACTTTTGTGCTTTTTGTTTCAGAATGTGTAACAATAAGGATCTTTTAAAATTGCTTTTCAAAGTATAATAAAGGATGTTTTTCAATGACTGCATGAGCTGGTTGCCCAAAATTTGAGATCCAGATTTAGAGTCATAGAGCAGACAAGGGACTGACCTTTATTTTAATCACCCTCTTTGAACACCTGCTGGGGTGTAAGAGCATTCTTTACATCAATAGAAGACCTTATTTTTTTCATTAACTTCAAGAAAAAGATTATTCAGTAAAATTCCTATGTCCCTGATGAACTGTTAATTGTTTGACCACTTTAAGAATATTTTTTCCATTGGTAGGAAATATTCTAAAATAGCTCTGCATATAGGAAAAACACAGTAATTTTCAGCTGATAATTATGGGAAGCATGATGAACTGTAGAAGTCGCCCATTACTGCCTTACTCAGGCTTGAGGATGTAGAGAACCTCTCCATCTCACACAGATGAAGAATAAATGTACTTGAGATCTCCAGAGTTTTTACTGTTTAGCAATGGAGTCAGTCTATCTGCTGGTATTCTGTGTTTCTGTTGAAGCAAGAACAATCATTCATCCTCATCATAAATCCTCCTCATCATCAACCCTGAAAGTAGGTACTGTGACACAAAATTCTATTAACAGAGTAAGGCTATTATTTTAAAGGGGAGAGTACATACTTAGGTAAGCAACAATCATTCATCTAAATCCTCCTCATCATCAACACTGAAATTAGGTAATGTGACACAAAATTCTATTAACAGAGTAAGGCTATTATTTTAAAGGTGAGAGTACATGCAATCATTCTTCACATTAAAAAGAAACCTTTTCCATACGGAGCTTACTTCTTACAGTTAATTTGTGGTTACACGCAAAATGTGTATAATTGTGCAAGAAGCAGAATTCCAGAATGCAGTACCACCTGAGGGAGAGAAGTGTATACAAAAGTATGTTCTGAAATTTTAACCTGCTGCATGGGATGCACACTTAATTAGTCTAAATTTTCATGCAATTTTGGTCATTATTTTTCTGCACTAAGATTTCAATAGATTTGAAATTTGGGGGCATTTTGGTCCCAAACCCACAGAATGCCAACATGCAAAAACTAGATCCTGCATCAGTATTTCAAAATGTGGTGTGTTCCCTCTTTTCTCAGAATGACTGACTGATTTTTAAAAAAATATTTGATAAGACTGATTTTCTACTGAACAGTTCTATTAATGCAAAACCATTTTTGTATATATGTTTTCTTCTACTATGAAAAAAAGTTAAAATCCACTTAGAATAATATACATTAAAGTACCACTAAATGATACAGAAAATAGTAGCATTATAGACAGGGCTTGGAAGTTGGCATCTATCATTAACCATTCTCTGCAGGAACTTTCTATATAGCCACTGTTTTGCAAGATAAGTGCATCTTTGGAAAAGTAATATTTAGATTCTGACTTTGAAAAGCATTTGCCTTTATTTTAGACATGACCTAAATTTCTTATGATGGAAGAATAATTAATCCTATTTTACTTTTGCAGCTTCAAAACAAATAGAATCAGGTGACATTTCATTTTTTTATGACTTGTAATATTTTATAAATCTTTATGTTTCTTTGTTATAATAAACCAAGTTTTCTGCTAAATATAAACTTCTTTTGCTTTTATCACTTGAAAAGGAAGTTACTTTTTTATACCTTTCTTCAAAATGCATCTTTACATGCTATACAACTATGATTGCCCCTTTGAAGTCCCAAACTGACTACATTTCAGTAGGGCTAAATAAATAAATAGTACAGTATATTGGAAGAATAAATACTGGACACAAACATATAGAAAATGCAATAGATGATAACTTCAATAACTATAAAACAATACAGAGTTATGTTTTCCTTTTCTTTTACTCTTACCTTTGTTTTACTGTCAAAACAGGTAAATCCTAGAGCAAAGTCGACTGTGAAACACAGGGTATCCCCTTGCCAACTGCACATATATGTTTTAGACTGAAAAAAAAAGGCATGATCTTTGAGAAGACAACCATCACTGAAAATTATTGTATTAAAATAATATTTTATGCAGGTATTTTTGGCTGGGAAAACACTCAGCTGACAGCACTGATACTCCTTTATATTACTATGCTTGAAAATTGGTCAAAAACTCCTAACTGTAAATCAGTGTCCCATCTGTCAGCTAGACATTAACTGCGGGTTTTTTTATATTCAAGTCATTCTTCTACAAAATTAATATATTCTTGAAAAGCAACCCTTGAAAAATGCAACACAGAACTAACAAAACCAAATCTGACTACTCTAAACTGCTTAGACCTGAACTATTAATGACTTCTAATATCGCTTCCACGTGCAGGGAACAGTGCCTAAATGTTTAGTCATTGCAATCTAGTTATAGAAAAGCATTCAGTCTGCTTGACCTCTCCATCTGATTTAAACTTTGTAGAGAATCTTTCTATTTCACAACACTTTTTAATTTGGGTCTGGTGACATGCCGGCACAGCCCTATGCTAAAGTTAGTTAATGTAATTTCATAGTAAGACCTAATAGCTATCATGTCTTGGTTAGCACTGCTACCTGACAGACCCTGCTATCTATTCACCAATTCCATGATAAGCTTTCAGATTAGAAAGGAAAAGAAGTTTGTTTTTTGGACAAAACTCAGAAGTTCTGGTTAAACTTATGAATAAGCTTTACAGTAAAAAGTCAGTTAACTCTTTCCAGGCATTTTTAAGGCTCACTAACTTAGGTATATGACAGATTCTGGAAAGACATGAATGAGATTTGCTGTAATATGGAGCAACCTGATGATATTCACCATTGACAGCCATAATAGCAAAAAGCCCATTGCCTTCAGCACAAGTAGAGATCAGATCCTGTCTCCAGGCTTTCCTTGCCACACCTTAGCAGACATTTTTAAGATTATACCCCTGTGCCTTATGAAATTTGGATATTTTTTTGTTTCTTCGAAGAAAGTATTACTTCACTGTGATTGATATATCATAAATATCAATGTTGCCTCATGCTTAGATATTTGTCTACACAAAAGTTTTGTATCTGGATAGTTTCTTTTAATTAAAAAAAATCCTTTTACATGCAAGAATTCCCTAGAGGATACTGAAAACATTAATAAAACCTGCTTAAAATGCAAACTACCATTTGAATTGGTTTTTAAAACATTTCTTGTGTAATCTAAAACTTCTGGATGATTGTAAATGTTTCCTCACTCCAGTATTAATTTAAAAAGTTAGTTATACTAAAATAAGCATTTTTGAGTTACAGTTTTGACATTTTAAAAAGGATTTTGAAAGGGTTAGGAGTAATATCAGTTTATAAGTACAGATTAGTATTATAATCATCTCCACAATAATGGAGATGTATAATATTTCTGAATAAATTAATTTGCTCATTGGTGTTCAAAGATCATATTATTTGGCATTTAAAAAGATTTCAGTGATTGATTTTCAATTAGAATGACATTTACATATCCTTACATTTCATTCAGTAATTAAAAGGTGGCATTAAGCACCAGCCATAACTTATTCTCCATTATTCTCCAATTAAAAAGGTCATACTAGCTAAGCTCTGACTGAGCAAAGCAATTTTTAAAATGAATAAAATTAGATTCCCCTAACGGGTAAGCATCAAATTGCTCAGTCACAAATGGTGAATACTAAAATGAACTATGCACAAATAATGAGCTTGGAGTACTTTAAAAAATATTCAGTGTTAGGAAATAATGGAACCAGTTTTGAAATTTTTCACAAGTACCAGAGACATAACACGCTTCATTTTCACTGTTATTAAAAATATATATGTGTTTTGTACTTACAAAACAGGCTCACAGGGTTTTCTTTACAACAGAATTAGTTTGTATTTTGCTATATAAATTTAAAAGCCTGCTCCTGGCATCTTCTCAGTGACTTTGAGCAGTTTCTTACAAAGCTCTATGGTAAGGACCCATCTTGACTCATTGACCCTAGGACAGTGCCTTATTCCTTTCCATTTTTGCCTTTGGAATAAGCTTCCCATACACTTGCAATTGTGATCACCCTTGGTTCTCCACAGCAATTGTTTATGTGGAAATTTAACATCAGAGGTCTGGGTTCAGGTGTCTTTCAGTGTATTTAGAAAAAAAAAAAAGCACTGCATATCAGGCAGCTTGCTAAGTCTAAGTCACAGTTTAAACAACAGAGAGAACAGGCCTCATAGTGCAATAGCAAAGAAAACTGTACTATATGACCTAGATCAATCATCTGATGTTCTCTTAGCAATGTAAACATCCATAGAATATTATATTTGTAATAAAAGATAATAACAAAACTCTTATCTGTGTAATGTTCAGGTACAAGCATCTCAATGCAGATTAACTCATGAAAAGATCATTAAGTTGATAATACACTGTTCGAATACCAAAAGAACACTGTATCTGACTCATTTATGACAGAATTCCTCACACAGACCTCCTGTTGCTGATCAGAAGCATGACTCTTGTCCATCTCTGGCTTGTGCATCTATAATCCAAGACCCTGAAAGGGCTTAATAGTTACAATGACTGCACATATACACTCATTCTCATTCTCGCAACAGAGATTGCCTTGAAATAATTCAGCTTTGAACTATGTTTGGTGGTCAAGAAACAACCAGGCATAGCACTTGGTCTATGTGGTCTACGTGGTCCATGGTCTAGTTAAGAAGGAGGTGATCAATCTGGTTGGACTTGATGATGTACAGGTCCTTTTCACCAGTTTTTACAAAGGGGCAAGGACATGGAACAGTTTGCTTCAGTACTCTAAAAGAAAGACTGATGTAGGGTTCTGTCTAACAGTAAAAGACATTACAAATATAAACAATGAAGAGCAAATTAATTCCAAAACCAGCTTTTATGTTAATAAGTTGCTATGACTCTTTCCCTCACAGGAGAGAATGTGTTTGTAAACAGATCAGCTAATGCAAAAAGAAGGGTTTTGAACTCAGTTTATAGGTTTTAGGGACCTAAGACCAGAAGTGAGTAAACACTCAAACTGGAAAGTGAATGCATGGGAAGAGAAAAAAAGAGGGATTTATTTCCACTCAGAGAGGAGAGCACCAATTATGTGTGAGAGACAAAGCCCAAGGGACAAACAGAAAGAGAGACCTCTTCATGGGGAGTCACCAGGCTGTGACGAGGCTGAAGCACAAAGATTGGGTGAGTAGCAGCCCAGACAGAGATGTCTGGGGAAGGAAAGGCAAGAATAAAGAGGAACCCTCCTCTTCTTCAGTTTCCTTCTTTGTGTTGGTGTCCTCATCCCCATTAAGCTGAAGTACGATGGCAGAAGGAAGCATGTAGGCTCCCCAGATCACAGAGAAGCCTTTTCATTTCTCCACACACATGGGTCTACCATGTAGGCTAAAGCCATAAGTACATTTGGTTTCTTCTGGGATGGGCAGTCCAAATACTTCTAAATAAATCATGGCATACAAAAGATTTTTTGCAATAGACTTTTGTTATTGCTGGAACATGAGTTAATTGCAGTGCTTTAGATGGACAGCTTAAATTTGCCGAAGTTCTGCCACAGGCATCCAGTGTAGTATCTCTGGATTCTTTTTTGAAGACATAGAGTCCTTAATGTTACTCTGAGGTGGGATTGTATTCTGTCTGAGAAATAGTGGTTCAACTTGCTTTTGTTTTTCAGTAAAATTCTTTAAAATCAAGATTAATAACTATAACTGTCAGTTGAGATAGCATATTCTGAGATCATCAACAAAGATTCTTAGTAAAAATTATCATTTAACATAATTTTTTAAGAATCAGGGCACCAACCTTTTCAGTCAGTACTCCTTTTCCTAAGTTCATGGCAGTAAGTTTTCTAAGGATCAAGTGAGACCCAGTGATGTTGCTCATCTAAGTGTAACACAGAAAAATGACACAGTGTGTATTCATTTTAAAAGATATTACTTTTACAATTCTAATACTGTTGGTCCAAATGTCTCATCACATGTACAGTTTCAAAAATTCAGCTGATGATTTGCTACATTGCAGTTAATTATTGTCTTGCATGAAGGAAATCCTCATTTTGCTTTAACTACAGAAGCAATACACAATGTATTCATTAATTTTAGACTCAGCCATGTTCTATTGAGCAAGAATTTTAGTGTTTTTAATCAGCCAAAATACAGAAATAATACCTACCTTCTAGTCTAAGTTAATACATATTGGGCATGCACATGATTTTTCTTGTTTATTTTCCAAAAAGCAATTGGAAAGTTGGCAATACCATTACACTTTCCTGCTTGAACTACATATTTTCCTGCTGTGCTGTTAACTACCTTATAGATAAAGAGATGCATTTGTTCTAAGATGAGCTGTAAAGGTTTATTACAGGTAAATGGGATCACAGACATTATTTCTCACTATACTCATGATATAGAATTTAACACATATTTTCTAAAACTAAATTTTAACCAGACAGGACAGCATTTAGGCAATAGCCATATCCATGCAGTGCACACACTGCATACTGTATTCACTTACTCACTTTAAGTTAAAATGTGTGCTATGCCTCTGTGTAGAAATAATATGCCATCAATGTAAAAAATGCTAAAATCTTCCTGAAAATTTGCCTTTTCTTAGGAAAAGTATTTACATTAAAATTGAATTATGCTATGAAGCCAAAGAATATATTTTTGGAGCAGAAGACTTCAGCATTGCTAATTTGAACTGATAAAATTTTAGCATCCTCCAAATATCACTTCTACTTATTTCTTTTTACTTCTGAGACCAAATCTCTCACCACCTTACATTTAATATTTTTCTTCATTTTTCTGTCAATGTCAGTAAAAAATGGAAGGAATTTTGTAGGACTGTCAGAGGAACGTAAATGCCTGAAAGAGAGAAGGACCTAAATGATGTGTTATTTTATTCTGCATTAGAAATAAAAATAATGTACATCAGCATTTAAGATACAGTGACAGGGAGGGAAAAAATTGTTTGGAACACAGATTCTTGCATTAAA